GAGAGAGAGAGAGAGAGAGAGAGAGAGAGAGAGAGAGAGAGAGAGAGAGAGAGAGAGAGAGAGAGAGAGAGAGAGAGAGAGAGAGAGAGAGAGAGACTGGAATTGTGGTTGTAACTCATAGAAGTTGTAAGTTGAGACAACTTTGTCATTAGATCCAATTTTTGACTATTTTTACAGCAGTCATTAAGAGAATCACATGGTCATTTTTTTTTTTGCCGGAAACCATCACAGATCATGGTCATGTGACTGCAGAATGCTGCAACTAGTTGTAAATGCCAGCTGATTGCCAAGCCCTTGAAATGCAGTTGGGGGGTGGGGTTGTTATACTTGGATTCTGTGGATTCTCTAGTGGATTCTGCTTTCTTGGTGCAAATGATAAATGAATCGTGCTGGAACGAAGGTGATTTTTAGCTGTATATTTCTGCAGAAATGGAGAGCTTTATGCCTGGGGCAAAGATTCAAATAAGTACCCTAAGTAAATGTTAGCTCTAACATTTATACAAAGTTTCTTTGTTATTTACAACATGTCACTCTATGTGATTTCTTTCACAAAGTTAGTGTTTACACTTGGATAGTATTTACATTTGTCCATTTTGATACAAGATTACATTTATCATGTTTAGTACAAGATAGCGAAACCTTCCTAATTGTATCTCATTGTCACGAGTTTCCCACTGCATATTGGTTTTGTTTGGTAGTTTTTCAAGGAAAAGAACAGAGAGTAAGTCATGGCTGTCTCACCTTTTGGCTTTCCTGGGCTGCACGGAGTGAAGGGGAATTGTCGTAGGCTTCATATAAAAATAGATAATATAGTTAATACATATAAATAACAAACTTTATTTTTATTAGATCTTGTAGGGCTGCATGGGTTTCAGTAGGGCTGAAGGGCAGCATATGGGTCATGGGTTTAAAAAAATCTGATTTAGTCAATCCAGGGGATAATTTAATCAGTTCTAACTTTTGGTGGCTTGTTTGTAGATAGTTTAATGGCTGACTTTGTCTAAAATATTATTTGAGACCTTTTCTTACGAGTGGGATTCCTTTAATGTAGAAGTTATTGCTGTTGCTTTCCGGAGGAATTAAAGGGGTCTTACTTTATTTGAAGGATTCTATTATTTTATATTCTTTAGCAATCCAGCTATCAGGGTGATGAGGAGGCCACAATGTTTTATGATGACCAGAAGTGCTTTATGCCATAAAACACCCTTTCTGAGGCTGTTGTAACTTTGAACAGTAGTTAAATAACTGGTTGTAAGGTGAGGATATAAATATATATATATTTAGCAATTATAACACAACCGTTGAGGCACCAGATACAAACTGTCAGTCTAAGAAGATTCCTGGGAATAGACTGAGCAATAAAACAGCTAACTAAGCTTTTCAAATGTGGGTCTGGTTGTTTGTGCCTGACAGATTGCTCTAATAAAATGTCAGTAAGGTGTGGCCTTTATTTCCTTCTTTTCTAAACTCTTTGAAAATAGTTATTCAACACTGAACTTCATAAACTAAATCAAGCCATATATTTCAGATAGTTATCCAGCCTATCAGTTAAAAGATTATATATTTACTTTTCTTCCTGCAAGATGATGAATATTTTGTTGTAACACATAATTGAAACTAAAAAAAAATAGCTTGGTTAAAATCTGAATCCATCCTAAGAAAAACACAATGCTGTGGTTTGATTTGCTTTGGGGTAAGTATTTGACCAGTTGAAGCTTCAGGGTTGAAGAAGCTTCTTGGTTGACAAGCGAAAAGTCTTAAAAGAAAAACCAGAAAGTGCAATTGCCTCTTGAAAAACCACCTTTGGGACAGCCATGATCTGGATGACTGAGAATCTCCATAGATATTTGGCCAGTTTTTTTTTTTTTTGACTTCAGTATAATTTGGATAAGCAAGAATGATATGTTTATTTTGCATGCATTTTTTCCATTGAACTTTTAAATATTATACAATAAATAACATGATGGGATGGAAACCTATTGTTTAAAACTGTTATTTTCAAGAATTAGTTGAGTGAGGATCAGTGTGTATCAACTCCTCACCTGGAATAAATAGGGATTTCCCCCTTTGTTTTAGTGCTATATGGGAAGGAAGGTTAAAACCCTTAGCTGGAGATGTACAGAATAATAGTTGGAAGGGACCTTGTAGGTCATCTGGTCCAACCCTCCCCCCAAGCAGGAGACCCTATTATTTCTGACAGTCCGGTCTCTTTTTGAGAACTTCTCATGATGACGCTCCCACAACATCAAATTCAATTTTTTGTATTTGCACTAAGATTTCACTGAGTATCTCTACATATGCAAATTGCCAAGCCTGCAAGTTTCAGAGGGCCAGTTTACCATTTTTTTAAGGCTACCTTCTAAAAACATTAACTTGTTTTGTATAGAACTGCTTGATGGAAATTGATTGTTTTATATAAACAAGAGGAACTGAAAACAAGCAGTTGTGAGTCAAGTCCGGAGAGATGCAGGAAAGAGAAACTCCAATCCAATCTTCAAACCGCATTAAAAAAACAAACAAACTTCAGGTCTTGAAACTGCAAGACAACTGAATTGCAGAGCTGAGGGGAAAGGGGGACAAGAGGAAAAGTAGCCAGACCAGAGTCCACAAACCTAAGCAAGCTGCAAACCAAACCAAACCAAGCCAACCAAACCTCCAGCAACCCAAGAGCCCAATTCCACAAACCGGCAGTTATTCCCTTCCGTCAACATTCATCCCATAAATCCTTCCCTGTGGCTGCATTTTTCCCCTCTGCATCAGTGAAAGAAGGAGCTCACATATTTTGGGCATGGTGGTTTTTTTCACCTTCTCAATTTTTTTTTATAGCTTATGGGATTTCTATGAGATTCCTTGGAAGGGTGCCGTTCAAGTGTAAAGAGGCGCAGCTCAGACAAATGTTGCTCAGGGGCTTATTCTAACCACCACCTTCCCCGCCAAGGAATTCACCCGAATCTTCAGGTACTGTTACAAACGCAACGCGCTTCACTATTGCACTTCAGCTCGGCAGAAGACCGACCTCTCATTTTAAAAACACAGGTATAAGTCGCAGTTTCGTTTTTGTTCTTTTGCTGTCCGTGCGAACTAAACAAACAACGAACCGGCATCCGGTTTCCCACAGTGCTACCTTCAGAAGATCTCTAAAAGGGACTACAGGACGACGAGAACGGACGTAGGGGACCAGAGTGCAGCTCGAGCTAAAAAGGGCCCTGCGCTGCTGCTCTCTTTCAGCACCTTCGGAGCGCTTTGGCGCCTTTTTTTTTTAACTCCCTTAATCGCTTCTCTGGCTCGCCTCACTAAGCGCTGCCGCGGCACGTTCTGGGAAGGGCTTTTCAGCCGCTTCTCCTCCCGCCCCCTCCCCAAAGCGGCTCATCGGCCAATCAGCGACGGCTCTCGGAAAGCTTCTTTCTGTTCGGTGCGCTTCTGCGCTGCATCCAAGGATGGCCAGCAAGCAGGAGCGCGGGCAGGTGCAGGGCAGGTAGGCTTGAGTCTCTCCTGGGTCCTGAGCAAGAACGGAGGGACGGAGGCGCGGGACAGACTTGGAAGCGCCGCGAGGCGAAATCGAGTTCGCCCGCCCCGAGGGCTCGCCGCTCCCTTGCGCTTTTCAAAGCGTCGCCCGCGAGGCCAAGATTTGGGCAAGGGGCGCGCGCGGCGCTCTTTCCTTGGCTGGCATCCGTTTTTTCCCAGCGCCTGGAGCCGCAGGCAGCCTCGCGCCGCTCGGCGCTGCAACAAAGAAAGGGCGCCATTGCAAAAGGCAGGAGAGCGGAGGAGGGCGGGGTGGGGGTGGGGGGGGGGGAGGGGGGAGGGAGGGTATTGGCGACCAAAAAAAAAAAAAAAAAAACAGGCGGGAAACTTTGGTGGCAGCCGGCCAGTCCCTCGCGGCGCAAGAAAGACGGGCGCTAAAGAACTGGCAGGCCGGGGAGAAGAAAGCGATGCTCGCAGAAATAAAAGCCCAAACAATCGGCAGCCCTCCATCTGAGAGAGGGTGCGCGTGCGTGTGTATGTTGACGGGCGGAGCGGAGGAAACGCCTCTTTCCAGCTTGGCGTCCTTTTTCTCTGACACGTGAGAAAGCTCTCTCCCGTTCTCGACCCCGAGTCGCTTCTTTGGGGGATTGGGGAGGAAAAGGCGCGTCATGGAATTCATTTTGGCTCTATGCGGGCGAGAGGAGGAATCGTGCGTTCGTTCTTTTAATTTGTTTGCCGCCCATCTCTGCCTGTAAGATGATTCTGGGCGGTTTACAATTTACTGTTGTTGTTTTTTTCAACGATAAGTGTTGAAAATAAATTCCCCTCCGCTACTTCGAAGATTCACGGCCCCGCATCCGTGTAATGGACTGGACGGCAAAATTGTAATCGTGCCATTGCTTTCTTCCTGGATCCGTTTTGTTTTTGCGCTTTGTTTTCCATTTTCCTGCTTTAATCTGCAGTCTCGTTCGGTGTTTCCCCAGCGATCTACCGTGCAAAGTCGACTCTTGGTTTTGGACAGCAGCCAGATATTCGCTTAATCGACATTTTTCCTTATTACTGTATTGTTTTTTTCCCCCGAGTGGGTGAAAGCCTGGAATCACATGCAATTTCCTGACTGACATCAAGACAGGATTTTTAACACGGGTTATTTCATCCACATTGTGGCTTTTTTAAAAGCTCCAATGAGGTTTGTAACAGTTTATCAGAAACATTGAAAGAACTTGAATGGACCAGCTATGTTCACTTACCTTTAAAATTGGGATCCTTGTTTCAAGATTAATTTTAATACATTGTTGTAACTTCCTTTAGGAAAATTGTGTGCAAAATATCAAATACAGCACTTAAGGTGCAGAGATATGGAACAATTTTTTGCTTTTCAACTTCTGCAGTAACATCTGAAGTCAAATTGGTCTCCTTGAACATCATCCTGTTTCTTTACCCGTTGAAACCATTATTGAAGATAAGAAGGAAACCAGATCAAATCTTAGTGCAACTATTTCCCATTTCAATTTCATTTTAACACACACACACACACACACACAATAAACCCTGAGAGAGAGAACAAAAATGAAATAAAATTGTAGCTTTAGAAAAATGCATTTATAAAATAGGAAAAGAATCTTCAAGCTAATACTGTATACTAACCAATTCATGAAAAACCTAATGTATTTTGAAAAAAGTACATGTAGCAGAAAAACCTATATACAAAGTTAGAAATGAACATTATGTACAAATGCAACAAATTTTCTCTTTTTTCCTTAGTGTTCTTTGATAGCTAGTCCAGTTCCTCTTCCTTGCCTTCTCATGTCAGTTATTATTAGTTTTGCCATTCTGTACTGTTAAGGCAAGTATAGCAAAGTACAACATATCTTAACAGATGTTCAGTACTTAAAATTATAATTATGAGGAAGATGAAAAGATGCATGGTCTGTGCCATCAATGCTCATTAACAATCAAGACTGACTGAATTTCCCCCCCTCTGTGCTTTCTCTTGCTACATTTCTCTCCCACAGTGAAGTGTATGTAGGTGCTCCAGTTCTACCTATAAAAAGAGCCACGAATCTCAGTAAAACTTAAATGTTGAACTGGCACAAAGGAGTTCCAGATTCAAATCTGTACTTGGCCACAGAAGCTCACCGAAGGAGTTTACATACATACTTAATCCAAACTACCCCACAGCTGATGTTGAGAAAATAAAATTTTGAGGGAAGGGATACTGTGGCACTGCTAAAGGAAAAGCAGGATAGAGATTTTTTAAAAAATTACAGAAAAATTCTTGTGGAATTAGATTTAATTCATTAAAATTTCCAGAGAGGATTCTTTCAGACACCCCAAGAGGACGACTGGGCTTCAGTAGATTTTATGCAGTATAAAGATGAAGAATAATAAACTGGGCTTAAAAATAATGCCTAGAATGGTTGAATGAATTGTGAACAAGCCATGATTACAAACCACATAATGCTACCTCAAAATCAAACAGACTAGCCAAGAGCCAATACTTCTACATTACATGAACATGATCCTAGTTCTTTAGTCAAAGTTAGGAATGTGCTTGTGAAAACAAATGTGAACACAGAACTTTGTGATGGCTTCATTACCACTTGTATTTATCTGTCTCTCAGGCAGTTTATATATTCACAGATGGACTTTAAGTTTGATCAGTTATCCATAAATATGTGCTGGAGCACTGTAAGCCCACTTTTCATTGGCCATAGTCTTGTGGACATCCAATACACATACTCTTTTTTTCTCTCAAAGAAAGGAGACAAAACGTGAGATCACTGCACAAGCAACTCTCAACTTACAATCACTACTGGGACCAGAATTCCCGTTGTTAAGCAAGGCAGTTGTTAAATGAATCATACCCAATTTTGCAATATTTTTTGCATAGTGGTTACTGGATCACTGTAGTTGTTAAGTGAATCACACGGTCGTTAAGCAAATGGCAATCAGATGACCCTGGAATGCTGCAATCATTATAAATATATGACAATTTGCAAACACGCAAATTGAATGGTTTCTTAAATGAATGATTGTATGTCAAGGAATACCTGTTATGCACATATATATTATTTGCATCATTCATCGGTATGTCGCAGCACAAATCTTGTGCTAGCTCAGGGGAATCTACAATGAATAGTCAAAACCAATAAGTTGGCAGAAGTAGCACTATGGAGTATCTCTTGCCCCCCCCCCCCCAAAAAAAAACTTAATATGCAAAATTAAGGCCTTTATTTTGCAACTTGCTCAACCCAATTTGTGCATTGCAAGTCATTGTCTGCTATTCATAGTCTTATGAAACATACTTTTTATAAAATACTAGTGTATCTGGACAATGGCATAGTTTGACATTAACACTCAAATAATGATATCCCATGACAGGCCTGATTTCTAATTTTGTGATACAAATACTTAACATAATGAAATCCTTTGCTTTTTTCTGCAGAAATTTATTTATATGTATGTTTTTGAAAAATACAAGGTTTCCTTATTCTTTTGGCACATAAATAAATTGGTTATTCATTAGGTATGGAAAATAAGTAAATCGTGCATCTTGAGAAAACTATAGAGTAACGTGCAAATTAAGGAAATATTTTCCAATAGAACAATCTGAAAGTGTGAAACAACATTAAAATATGAATTGGATTGCTTTATATATTTATTTTATTATAATGATCTAGTTGCTACATGCCACGTTGTGTCAGTAGCATACTCTTCTAATCCAGTTTTTTGGTTGATGGCAGCAAAACTCTAGAATAATATTAAATGGTTAATTAAATAGTTTTACGTGCTATCCCATGATCTCATTAGAAGGGCATACATCTACAGCTCTGTTCTGTATGGTTGTATGTTTGTGTAGGCTTTAACATGGAACTAAAGCTGAATAAGATTATAGTATAAATAAAGAAGGTACATATGAACATTGCATTATTTGTTTACTTGTTTGTATTCCACCTTTATTATTTTTCTAAATAACTCAAGGTGGCAACAATATTCTTCAATGGCAACCTTTTGAACTGAGTTGGGCTGAAAGAAAAAGTGATTCACCCAAGCTGGCTTTCATGGCTAAGGCATGAAACAGTAAAAATAACACCCAAGTAGTTAAATTTAGATATACAATAATCAAAACAGAATAAATGAGATTATAGAAATGCTTTAGAAAAGGAAGTTATAAGCTGTAGTATATATTTTGCAAAGTTTTAGTATGTTTCTTAAAATTAATTCCATTAATATAATTCAAACAATATCAACACTGAATTTATATAACAGTATTATTATTGAACATTTTATTCTCTGCAGCTTGTTTAGTTATTATCTCATAGAAACAGTCAGACAGTTAACAGATTACAAAGGAAAATAAATTGTGTGAGTCTTTCTCTTATCTTTTTAGACTTTGAATAATTTGCACTGTCTTTAACTCACACAACATATGTGGGGATTCTGTCTATCTGGTCAACATAGTTGATAATCGGGTTTTTATAAGCCTACTGTATTTACTAACTTCTAAAAACATACTGAGACCCAATATGATACCATTATTGAGTTGTTTGTAAAAATAGAAAGTACAAATGCTGCATTTCAAGTATTTTTTTTAAATTCTTGGGTAAGAGAGTCTAAAGTTTATATCTGTATTGATATTTTTCCTTGTTTGACAGAAATATACAACTGACCATTAGGATATGCAAAGTGGGAACTGAACTGGAAGATAGAATTTATTTATTTATTTATTTAAGCGATTAAAAGATTACAGGTATAAATATAGACATAGTTATGAGTACATGAAATGGATACATATAAGAAAAATAAAAAAGAAATAATAGGTAGGCACATTGGTGCGCTTTTGCACACTGCCTACAGACCTCTTAGGAAAGGGGTGAGGTCAATAGTAGACAGTCCAAGGTTAAAGTTTTTGAGGTTTGGGGAAGAAACCACAGAGTCAGTAGAGTATTCCAGACATTGACCACTCTGTTGCTGAAGTTGCGGATAACCTTGAGTTTGTATCTTATGTGTGCTCTTGTTTTGTTATGGTTGAAGCTGAAGTATTCATTGACAGGTAGGACATTGCAATATATAATTTTATATACTATACTGAGATTGGACCAAAGACGGCGTAATTCTAGGTTTTCTAGGTCTAGAATTTCAAGTCTGGTGGCATAAGGTATTCTGCAATGAGTAGAGGAGTGGAGAACTTTTGTGAAATATTTCTGGACTTTCTCAACTCTGTTAATATCAGATACGTAATGTGGGTTCCAGACTGATGAGTTGTATTCAAGTATTGGTCTAGCAAATGTTTTGTATGCCCTAGTTAGTAGTGTGATATTACTAGAGAAAAAGCTATGTAGGATTAGGCTAACAACTCTTAATGCCTTTTTGGCTATGTAGCTACAGTGGGCTCCAGCACTTAGATCATCAGAGATGAGTACTCCAAGGTCCTTGACAGAGTTTGGATCATCAACAAGGTTTTGACTATTTAACTTGTATTTTATTTTCTGATTTTTTTTTGCCAATATGTAAGACGGAGCATTTATTTGTTGAGATTTGAAGTTGCCATTTGTTTGACCATTCTGATACATAGTTGAGGTCTTTTTGAAGGGTAGCAGTATTGTCTGTGGTGTTGAATAGCTTTACATTATCAGCGAAGAGAACGCAGTTGCTCTTAATATGATCACAGAGGTCATTTATGTAGAGAATGAAGAGAGTTGGTCCTAGGACACTGCCTTGGGGGATACCACTGTTGACAGGTACAGAATTTGATAGGACACTCCCAATTTTGATCATCTGTTGTCTATTTGACAGGAATGCTTCTAACCAGTTATGAAGGTGACCAGAGATACCATAAGATTTTAGTTTTAGGAGTAGTTTGTCGTATACCACTGAATCAAAGGCTTTACAGAAGTCTATGTAGATTGCATCTATTGCTTTTCCCTGATCGAGTTGTGTAGTCCATATGTTTTTGAAGTGTAAGAGTTGTAGATTACAGGATAATTTTTTCTGAAACCAAATTGTTTATTAGACAGCAGGTTGTTTGTCTCTAAGTGGAGGATAATGGATTGGTTAATAATTGATTCCATGACTTTACAGGTGATGCAGCATAAAGAGATTGGTCTGTAATTTTCAACTAGGCTGGGGTCTACCTTTTTGAAGATGGGGATGACTGTGGCTTGTGACCATAGTTTTGGCAAGGAGTTAATCCTGAAAGATTTTTTGAAGATTATGCTTAGAGGTTCTGTTATGGCAGTAGATAGCTTTTTTAAGAAATAGGCACATATTCTGTCCGGTCCAATAGATAGAGATAGTTTTAGATTGCCTAGTGCTTTTTCAACATTGTCTGCTGTAAAATCAATACGTATTAGATCATTGTAGTTGTTTGTGATTCGACTAGGAAATACTGGGAATGATCCATTGCTGTTTACAAATTGCCATTCCAGCACGGCCTTCATTTAGTCATATATCTGTGGCTAAATGTATACATTTATAATCTCAAAAGAGAAATGTGTAATAGAAAAAAGGACACATTGGCATTCAGTTTGCATATATATTGGACATTTTAAAAACGATTATATTTTATAGCAATATCATATCAGACAATGTTTTCTATGTTTCTAAGGTAAATTTATGACTAGATGCCCTGTGTATTTGCTTTGCTTGTTTTTGTTTTTTTGAGGTGCAAAGTTTTGATGGTCCTTGTGGCACATTCTCAGTGGTGGGATTCAAATTGTTTTACAACCGATTCTGTGGCCGTGGGTTGGTGGGCATGGCAGGGAAGGATACTGTAAAATCTCTAGTCAGAGATAGTATTTGCCGGTTCTCCGAACTACTCAAAATTTCCACTACTGGTTCTCCAGAACTGGTCAGAACCTGCTGAATACCACCTCTGATTCTCAGGAATTTTTAATAGGAAAATTCTGCAAATGGAACACTTTGTAAAAAGAAGAATCTAACATAGAATAATTTGACATAGTCTCTGCTACAGTAATAATCCTGCTATGAATGATTCCAGGTGGTATATAAAACTATGTGCTGTGTAACATTTGAGATGTACCCAAATTGAAGTTGAAAATTCATGTATTTATTAATCAGCTTTAGAGAGAGCTTTCTATTGAACCCTTGGCCTAGTAATTCTGGCACAGAGCTTGGATTGTTGATTAAAGAACCTATAGAACTTCTACTAAACAAATGTCTCATTCATAGGTTTATGAAGCAAATCTGTCTACAATGGTACCCAACAAAGAAATGGTTCAAATGTATGAATGAATACACTCATTTTTCTGATTAAGATGCGTTTAATGCTATTTAACGCTACAAAAGATTTCATCTATTTAAATATTAATTGATTTGTTTTTTTTCAGCGAATCTGATGGTACCTCTGAGGATGATAAAGGTAATTAATTTTTCAAAAATATATAATTCTGTTCATTAGTAAAGGTAAATTAATTAATTAAATAACATTTATTTATTTATTTCCTGGGAAGCTGAGGATGAAGAGAAAAGAGAAAGAGGATGTCAGAAAAGGATACATATCCAAACAAAATAGATTATTGAAAACAAAGAAAATTTAGGGCTTCAGAAAGAAAGAATATAATATTTCCACTGATCTTTGTTTCTTGCTTTGCTCATGCTTACTTACTATGCTTCACTGGAATAGAATGCAGCAGATTATTCTTGTATAATAGGAGCCTTGCTAGGCTCTCTTGTGCAGCCATTTTGAAAATCGCACAGGAAAATAAATTACAATCTTCCTGATAATAATGGCTGTTGGAAACGTCTGCCAGATGATGTTTTAGTTTAGGTTATGTCTTCATTGTTTCTAGTTTTCAGCTATTGTTAACTTTTGGAAATTTATTATGTCCTCATAGAAGGACATAAGTCATCATTTGGATTTCATCCAAACAAATTGGAGCAAGGAATGAGGAAAAAAAGAGTGATTAATTTTGAACAAAATCCCAAATAAAGCTTTTTCTATAGCATAATTACACTAGACAGCTAAGGTCTTAACTAAAAGTGATGCAAATTTGTTGACATTTTTAAAAGTAATAGAGCCTATGTGCAACATTGATGCATAGATATTTTTGTATCATGTAATTGTAGTTCTTGAAATCTTCTTTTCCAGTGTAATCCCAGGCAAAAGTTGGTCTTTAGGTGCAGTTTTCTTTAACAATAACTATATTTAGCCTATGATGCAGTTTATCTTAAAACTAATGAGTAAATAAAATATAGGTTGCAGTGTCCAAATTATAGTGGATCACTAAGAAGTCTTTAAAATGTTTGTAAGAGTTTGTACAAATAGGAAAACTCATCATTTTTCCTATATACAGTACCATTTTCTTCTAAATTCAGAGCCCGATTGAGCAAATGTTAAATATTCAGTGATATCATTTTAATCTACATGATTGTTTAACTCAGAGGTCTCCAAACTTGGCAACTTTAAGACTTGTGGACTTCAACTCCCAGAATTCTCCAGCCAGCTTTGGGGACCCCTGGTTTAACTGTTACTAAAACAAATATATTTTCATTTTATGAAGGTAATGACAGTTCCAGCAATGACTCAGAGAGCTCCGAAAGTGAACCTGGTCAGTAATTATGCAGCTACGTTTCATGTATATAAATAATTAATTGGTAATTTTATTGGCGGGGGGGGGGGGCTTAAAGGCCAAATTCTCCTTTCAAACAATCCCCAAGGAATTGAAATATGTTAAATGAACCTAGAATTCTTCCTCTTGATCATTTGAGGGGACAGTTGAAAAACAGAGAAAGGCAAGGAGAAGGAAATGCATATAATTTGTCCTATTTTAATATTTTAAATGTTATTGAATTGCAGCCAAAAGCTATGTACAGGTAGTCCTTGACTTATGATCATAACTGAGCCCAAAATTTCCATTGCTAAGTAAGATAGTTGTTAAGTGAGTTTTTCCCCATTTATGACTTTGCTTGCCATGGTTGTTGGCTGAAGCACTGTAGTTGCTAAATTATTAACATAGTTGTTTTGTGAAGTTGTTGCCATGGTGAGTGATATTTTATCTCAGCAAACAGTTTTCTGTCTCAAACACAATATATGTTCACATGAGAATCCATATCAAGGTGCCATGAGAGCAGGTCCTTTGAGATTGGCAGGAAAAGTGGCAAAACAGGATAGTCAGGAAAAGAATTGAAGGAAATGGTAGCTGTCACTGAGTGACAAATATAGCCTTATGCACATGTTTTAATATTTATGACTATTTTTATTTTACACAAACAAGTTAACAAATATTTCTGTTTCATCACGTCAACCTTTTTATTTACAGAGACAAATGAGACAAATGAAAATGAACCATGTGGGTATCCTTTATTTATTATTAATTGTAGTTTTTGTGGGGGAAAGCTCTAACAGAATTGCCAGATGGCCAGAAGACACTTAGAAACACTTAGAAATGAAAGCAAATTATTTGACTGTTTGTATTAAGAAAGGGCATAAGATAATTTGAAAACAGGTAACAAAGAACAAGGTATGGTACTTGCTCATTATAGTTAAAGCTTTGAATGTATCCTTTTACTATTTTTACTATCACAATTAATGGTACTTGTCCTCAATGAAGAATTGAGGAAATTATGCTTAAATCGATTAAATAGTAATAAATATAATAGTTAGGTGGAGCTCTCATACTCAGATTGCCAGAGTGAGGAAGATACTTCTCATTCAGGTAGTCTTCAACTTACGACTGTAATACAGCCTACCCACTACCGTCATAAGTTGTGATGGTCATAAAGTGAGTCATCATGAGATCTGATTTTACAACCTCTTTTTAAGGCAGTTGTTAAGTGAACACATTAGTCATAAAACGACCACAGTGATTCCAGAAAACTGGAAGTAAATGTCATTTTTCAGCAAAAATGTTGTAAAATGTGGTCAAAGGGCCGAAAATATGGACTGGTTGCCTAGTGCCAGAAATGCAGTAATGCGACAGCAGCAGAGGAAGTGGCTGTTGGAACTTCAGAACCAGATAAGTACTCTTTTGAAATCAGTTGTAACTTTGAATGGTTGCTAATCAACCAGTTGTAAATTGCGGATTACCTGTATGTCAAGTCTATTGTGCCTGTACTCAGAATGGCGTCAGGTTAGGGAAAGCTGAGGGAACTACTGTTGGAAGTAGCACTCTGAATTTCAAAAGACTAATCAGATGGGCTCTTGTTCTTTAATCAAAGAAACAGAAACAAGTATCTATTGCAAATGTGTTTTGCCTGTGGTATTCTTGAGAACTAAAAAAAAAAGTCCAGACTAAATAAATGAACACATTACAGGAAATGACAACATGCAAAAGTTTAGGCGTTTGTGGTTTGTGTATCTTTAAGTGAACAGAAGCTGGCCCAATGTCTGTTAAATAGGAGATATTTTGGCAAATTTGAATGTATGCTTACATTTACAGATTCAATTTTTATTTAAAGTATCTATAGCAAATGAAAAAAAGAAGATGATCCCTCAATCCAGTACTTTGTAACATCTCCTTTGGCAGAAAGAATAATTTCCAAATGTTTCATATTCTTTCCCTTTTTCTTACTTTGAATTTTTCAAGAAACATTAATTCCTTACAACAGACCTGCTACCCTTCTGCTAGTATTTGCATGCTTCAGAATCACCCCATCCATTTCCCCATCTGTAGTAAACACTAAACCAAGGTTTCCAAATGAATCATGTTACTTTTTTTTAACATTTATGTGTAACTTCCAATTGCAATAAATATACTGTAATAAAGACATCAAATACTGTGTAATAAAGGGGGCATCACAGATCCTTGTCTGGTTAGTTCTAAATCATTTGTAAAGTATTCCATTTATTTTTATGTAAGTTTTACTTCCATACGTAGCATTTCCTATAAATGGTAAAGACATGGTGTGTTACTTTTTGCACACTTGGAGCAACCAAAGCAAATTTTACTCCAAACACGTTCAATTTTTCCTTCAAACTAGAATCTCTAATATAGAGCCTATCTTGAAAGTCACTTACCAGTGATGGCTAACCTTTTTGTCATCGCGTGCCGAAAGTGCCTGCGTGCCTGCACCCATAATACAATATGTGTGAGCCCCCCCTGTGCATGCCTGTGCATCTTCCATGTGTGCATCTCCCCCTGCGCATGCATGGCAGATACCTGACAATCTGCTGGCGGGGGTCTCATGTACATGCACAGTGGATGTGTTTCAGGCAACGGCACATGTACCAGCAGAAATGGCTCTGCACGCCACTTCTGGCATGTGTGCCATAGTTTCGCTATTGCAGTGACCCGGAGTGACACCATTTGTGACTTTCCCAGCTTGCTTCTAACAAGCAGTCAACGTGGGAAGCCAGGTTTGCTTTAACAATTGCATGATTCAATTAACAATTGTGGCAGAAAAGATCATAAAATGAGGCCCACTCACTTAACATCTGCCTTGCTTAGCAACAGAAATTTTTGGCTCAATTTTGGTCATAAGTCGAGGGTTGCATACGTTGCTCATTTTATTTATCTTGTTTATGTAAATATTATTTTTTTTTTTCTCCACTATTGACAAATGTTCAGTAGACTCCTTAAGTCCCGGCTGCTCCATTGTTTCGCATTTTTCCATTTCTCTTTAATTTGCATTCCCTTCAGTAATACTTTACAATTCATATGAACATGTTAGTTATTTGAAATCCTAATTGATTATTTTTTTCTGATAGTTTCATGTTGAAAATCTGGTAATAATGAAATGCTATTGAGTGTATGATCAATCTGAATCATTTTGGGAAAGATTTTTGGAGAATTTAAGGTGAATTAACTAAACAGGGTGGTCAGTGATGAATGCCAGCCTTTTCTCTAATAACAGAAGTCACATGTGGATTAGAATTCTAAATTGTTGGAAAATGGAATAGCCAAAAACTATAATTAGTAATAAGAGTATGGTTGTTGTTCTTATCATCTCTCATTTTTAAAACAACCTGGAAAACTGATTGTATAGGAACATAAAATGTCTGTGGGGTCAGGTCAAAGATGCTGTTATATATCCTGTTTTTATTAACAGTAAGTCTTATGCCTCTAGCAAACTACAAGCAAGTTACTAAATAGGAAAAAGGAACATTTAACAAGCTGTTATTACTAATACCTGTAGAAGTCTATCGCTATGTTCATTTCTCTTTGTAGCTAGCTTAATGTGTTAGCTTTCATATGATAGCACTGCAAGTTATGGTTCCAGCTTGATTATATTTTGTGAGAAAAAATATATTTTGTTATCCTAAGATAATATGAAAATGTTGAGATTGTAAAATATCATTTTACTCACAGAGCTTGGGGGGGAGACTCTAAAAGGTAAAAACATTTATTAAAAAGAATCTGATATGGTTTCTCAAATGATAGGAATCATTCACAAGTTATGTTTTGATAATGATTTTAAAAAATCCTATCCAATTCAGTTTATGATTCACTTTATTATTATTTTGTTACAGTTGAGGAAGCAGAAGAGAAAGAGTTACAGCTGTATTGCAGTAAATCAGGTACAGACATTGTATATTTCACAATGTTGCCCAGAATTCTGGAAAATGAAGCACAGGCAATGAATAAAAGTTAATTAATTCATTAAATGGGGATGGGAGATCTAAAAGGAAAAAGCACTTATATGAACCTGATGTGACCTATGTTTTGATAACAATTTTAAAAATCCTATCTGATTTATGATTTTTTTTTACAGATGAACAACCAGAAGTGTTGCAGAATGGTGGTGAATCCGGTATAGACCCTTAGAAGATTATATATTTTGCAATCTTAAAGAGTTTAATTTTTAAAAAATCTAATGTTGTTTTATTTTTTCATTTTAGAAGTTAACATCCAGCAATGCTGTAAACACTGCATAATCCAAAAAGTAGGTTTGAAAATTTCAAATTGCCTTAAATCTTAATTCATAAATATGAATTAATTCATAAATTATTGATATCTGAATAATTTCTTTTCTTTTCTTTTAAATATAAAGAAGCAACATGAACAAGTCACTCCCAGAAGATTTCTGAAAGGACAATTTTGGTAGCTATTATCTATTACTATTATTACAGGAAATATTTCTGGAATTGTTTTCTTTTTTATGATTATACATACATAATTATGTAAGGAAGTACAAATTTATATATGCGTGCTATCAATTAGTAGAGGATGTGGGACATCTTGCTGATTCTACATATTCACTTCATTCTTCAAATAGTTTTATGAGATAGAAAAAAATAAAGGGAAGTTACAGGTTGATAATTATAAAATGAAGAACATGCAAAAATTGCTATATACACCTTTTTTTTCTACAACACTGTTTTAGGAGTTCTAGGATAAACACATAATGTGTGTGTCTGTGTGTGTGTATACATACACATACACACATATATCATACATACACACACACACACACACACATATACATAAACACACACACACACCTTTATATATTTCACAGTACAATCTTTGTAAGGCAAATTGTGTCTTCTGAAATTATGAAAAGGAAGTCTACTTCATAAAAGATGGGAATTATGAACTTACTGGTATACTTTCTAGCTTACTGCTACTTATTGAAAGCTCATTAAAATACATTCATTATCATTATGTAAAATATAAGAAACATAGTCTAAGAAGCTAGTATTATATACACTAATTATATTAATTAAACTATGCACACTAAATTATTTATATATGTAAATGATATTACCATGTTTCTCCAACAATACGGCCTCCCTCAATAGGAAGTCCCAGCATGTTTTATAGGCATAAAATCAAATGAAGCCCCTTCCCCCAAATTAAGGCCTATATTAAACATGCGAAAGTGGGGGGAATGGTGGGGGATGGGCTTGCCGTTAGGAAGTACTTTTGTGCATACCCGGATATGGTGCTGCCTGTGTTGACTTTGGCATTGGTGGGGCACTTTGTATCGGAGACCTTCTGCCACCGTTGCATTCCCTTCTCCCCATGCTGCCGTGGCGTTTAGAGCAATGCCGCAGTGTTTGGCATAGCCACATGTGGCCAGCCAGGGCTCCTCCCTGCAACCAGAGCCCGGTGGAGACACTCAGCTTCAGGTGCTCCTGTCACCGCCTTCCCTTTGCCTTCGAAGGCAAAGCCAATTCTTTTAAAAACAATGCCCTACTACCGGTACAACAAAGCCTCCTCTGCCTGAGAGGGCAGCCCAACCACACATGGGGAGGTGCAGGATTGGCCCACCCCGGGAGAAGCGCCCAGCTGCCATCCCTGCCTGGCACCGGGCAGAGTGTGAAGAGCTTCACCTGGGGCGCCCAGTGCAGCTGACAGGCAGGCCCTCCTGCCTGGTGGTGGAGCTCACACCAAGGCAGTAAGGACCCTCCACATATCCCGCCAGGGCTGCGCCAGAGCTGTGCAGGCTGGGCAGAGCCGGGAAAGCGAGCCGTGGGTGCGCACCCTCCTGCCAAGCGAATGAGCCGGGCCGACCCGAGCTTGGCTTCCTTCCCAAGTCCCTCTAGCCCGAACTTGAAGGGGCTACTGGGAGAGGCTGCCCGAGGCAATGATAGTGCCCACCTGTCCACAGATAGGGAAGCGAGGTGATGGCAGTGCTGCTTCTCTGGCTGGCGAGTCTGGCGGAGAGACCCTGAAGCCGCCCGTCCTTTCCACCCCTCGCCCAACCTGTCCCCATCCCCATGTATCTCCAAATGCGCTGGCAGCTCCAAAGGCTGCAGCGGCATGAGCATCGGGCAAAGGCGCTCACTTGGCATCAGAGGAGGACATGGCGCAGGCCGTCGCCTTGCCTTCCTGTCCATGGATGGGTGGGCGCTATCGCTGCCTTGGGTGGCTTCTCCTGGTGGCCCCTTTGTGTTTGGGCTGGAGGGACTTGGGAAGGAAACCAAGCTCAGGTCGACCCGGCTCTTTTGCTTGGCAGGCGGGCATGCACCTGCGGCTCGCTTTCCCAGCACTGCCAGCACAGGTCTGGTGTGGCCCTGGCAGGATGAGCAGAGGGCCCGGCAGGGAGGCGCTCACTTCCTTGGCAAGAGCTCTGCCACTGGGCAGGAGGGCCCGCCTGTCAGCTGCGCTGGGTGCCCCAGTCGAAGCTATTCACGCTCTGCCCGGTGCCAGGCAGGGATGACGGCTGGGCACTTCTCCCGGGGTGGGCCAATCCTGTGCTGTAGCCCCAGGAGATTCACCTCCCCACGTGGGGTTGGGCTGCCCTCTCGGGCAGAGGAGGTTTTGTCGTACTGGTAGTAGGGCGTCGTTCCGAAGGCAAAGGGAAGGCAGCGACAAGAGCTCCTGAAGCTGAGTGTCTCCGCCGGGCTCCGGTTGCAGGGAGGAGCCCTGGCTGGCTGCATGTGGCTGCGCCAAACACTGCGGCGTTGCTGTAAACGCGGCAGCACGGGGAGAAGGGAAAGCAACGGTGGTGGAAGATCTCCTGATACAAAGTGCCCCACCAACGCAGAGGTCAACATCCAAGCTGTCGCCACCCACCCGAGGATGCAAGAGGGGGAATTAAATCACCCCCGAAAAAAGACGGTCTAGCCTTTTTTTCAGGGGTCAAAAAAAATAAGGCCCAGCCTTATTTTGTGAGAAACACAGTAATACTTCTAATTATGTTAATAGCTAACAATCTGTTTGCTAAGGGTTTTTGCAATAAAAAATAACTTTTGTGACTTTCATCTTTTTTGTATTGTTAAGAAATGGTTTGCATGACAATTTTAAAACATTTTTAATTAACATATCATTTTAGATGTAAAGCCAACAATGGATTCTTTTACTGCTCAAAGGTAGAAGAGTTATGCTACAACCAATATTCCGTCTATGTGTTTTAAATATTTATATGGAAAGATAAAAAATGACAAATATCATTTCATGATTTTACAGACTCAGAGTTATCTTTTGTATGTCATTTGTTTAGCTTGAAGCTGGATGGTGAAGGAACTTTTGAGTGTACAGAGACAGGATTAATTTTTGAAGTAACAAGATCTGTTACCATTGAATATTCAGTTTTGTCTTGGACCAAATATGCTGCTTATGTTAAAGAACCTTGGATTGTCGTGGGCCCTATATTTGATATCAAATGTACCTCTTCCGCTCTTACTTCAATTCAGTTTCCACACACCCTCTGCCTGAATGGTAAGATTCATCGTAAATATTATCTGATATGTTTATGTATTATGGCACATTCTTTAAAAAGTTCTAACATTTTGGAATTTGTGTGCAGATCATTTGTCTGAGAAGGCCTTCAAAGTATTCCATTTCAAAAAGAATGGTCCGGAATTTGAAGGCTCCATTGATCATTCAACTACACATGTCAAGTGGCACGTGAGCTCACTATCTCCAGTTGGACCAGTAATTGAAAGATATGATCCAGTATATTATCATGGGGTAGTCATTTTATATAAAGTTATCAACAATCATCCTTCCTTGAAATTCCGTGTGTATATCGCTACAAATAACAATTCATTTATAAAGGTAAGATCAACTTTTTTGTCCTTTTTTTTGAAAAATAAACTCTATCTTTTTAAATACAGAAGCTGTGACTATACAGTTGTTTCTAAAAAGTTCTGAGAAAGTTATTAGGTTTGGCTCCCTTGCCACTGCAATTAAAAGTCACTGGGTTTAAGGTCACCCAACTTGGATTAGTTGGCTGGGTGACATTCATGAGACTGAAATGCCATTTTGAATGTCAGTTTCTGCTTTATTGCTTATCATTATTTTATTTTATCATTTTGAATGATGTACATATATTTTATGTAGATTTTATTTTATGTGACCTAAAATAAAATAAAACAGTGAGAAATCTTTCCTACAAAGTCTAGGCAGATAGCTAAATTAAATGCTAGGTTTATATACTGGTTCCGTATTCTCCACATTTCTATGGTTTCTATGCACAAAACTGGGGAAGCACAATTTCTTTCTAACAAAACAAATGGGAGCCAGAACACTAATGGGGATATAATATAATTAATGAATTTAAAATATTCGGCAGGTAGGATAACTTAACTCTATTTTAGATTGAAAAAGTTTGATAACCTATATGTCTAATATGTCTATTATTATTCTTTCATTTCTTAATTTGGATAAAAAGCTTTGGTTTAATTTTTAGGATATATCCAAAACTGTAAGACGATCTCTTAATAAATTCATTAAAATTGAAAAACCTCCTTGTCATAAATTATTGCAAAATGGAAAGAAATACAGATTAACTAGTGATCCAGAAGCTGACATAACCCCTGAGGTAAGTTTCTCATTCTTTGATAATTGGTTTGTCAATATATGTAAACTTGGTGAAACATGAACATATCATCATTTGAACTTTCAATTTTAGGACAATTGTTATTTTCAGTGAGATCTAGCCTTTCGTATGATAATAGTATGTACAGCAAAATGCATTCATAACCAGGGGTGGGATTCAAATTTTTAACAACCAGTTCTGTGGGTGTGGCTTAGTTGGTGGGCGTGGCTTGGTGATCATGTGACTGGGTGACATGGCTTGGTGGTCATGTTATTGGCTGGGTGTGGCCAACTCAGTATCACTCACATCAAGGCACGCATCTCCTCGCCTGGCCTCTCATGACTGTGGGGATGCTGCAACAGTCGTTAATGTGAAAAATGGTCATAAGTCACTTTTTTCAGTGCCATTGTAACTTTGAATGGTCACTCCACATAAGCAAAGTACCAGCAAAGGAGGAAAAAAAACTCGAGAGAAGTTCCTGAGATAGGAAGTCTAGTCCTGCCAAGAATGTAACAAGGGTTAACGGAGAGGCAGTTTCTGTAAGCAACACCAGAATGTTTCCTTCCTGCCTTCCTTACAGGATTAGGCCAGTAATTTCTTTTAACAACCGGTTCTCCAAACTGCTTGGAATGTTAACAACCGGTTCTAGCGAATATGTGCGAACTGGTAGAATCCCACCCCTGTTCATAACGAAGAGTACCTTAAGGAAACGTATTTTGTCACGGTAAGCAGATTTTTTAATATTCCTTTTTCTAGGAAATTCAGTTTGGAGATGACTCCACACTGGCAGAGAAGCCTTTCTTTGAGGTATATTTAGAACAGCCAATGGAACTTATGCTATCTTTGGTGGATTTGGAATCTGAAGAAGTTGTGTGGAAGGCAAAGCTCAGAGAATGTAAGCATATATTGAGCAGAATCCAGTGCATGATGCATGAATCTAGAAATTATTTTTATTAAACATTTAATAATAAATTGAAATTAACAAATTTGCCAACAGTGAAAGTTTGTGCATTTTATGTTCTTTTGGGTTTGATTTATTTTTCTAAATGAAATTAGCTTCTAATTCTAAAGCTCCTACCCAAAAAAATCTACAGAATGAACATAAATATCATTAGTTTTTCATATGAAAAACTAGTTGGGGGATTTTATGTAACCACCAGGTGAAGGAAAATTAAGGCAACAATACGTGTCTGTATTATGCTAGATCTACAGTCTTATGTGTTTGCAGTGCTATGTTTTGATCTTAAGGATTATTTTAATATGTCTGTGGCTCTGTAGAAATTGCAAATACAAACACATATTTATTTGAATGTATTTTCTTTCTAATTTTAGATAAGATTCTTTGGAATATACAGAAAAATCAGCAATGAAAGCCACAAAACTCATTTGCTTGAGTTTTATTGAAGGAGGGGAAGAAGAGAAAATCAAGCAGTTTTTTTTCCTTCCACAGAAAACAGTCCCTTCTGTTTCTTTTCCAGTTCCCTTCCAGTTTTCCAACTCAAGCAAATTGATTTTCTTATGATCTTGCTTATAACTCTAAAAAGTTAGTGCAAGATGAAAAAAGGACCCTCTTCTTTCCTTTGCTCCGGTTTATTGCATTTATCAAAATTTTCTGGCATCCTTGATATTGTAGGTACTGTAGCAAAGTTACCCTGAATTTCTTCTTTTCCACAATGGTTGAAGGAAACTGTAATGTATTTTTAGGACATAAGAAACATGATGTATTTTGGCCTTTTCCTTTCCTATCAGATACAGGGCAGTTGACCCTAGATCTTTCTGTTTTAACTAGGCATTTGTGAGTAGTAGGAAACTCAACTTTTATATGTATTTGCTTGATTAATTTCTGCTTTATGAAATTCTTCAAAGATTTGGCCCATATATTTTTAAAAGCTATAAAATAAAGTTGTCAGTTTGACCTATATTGTTTATATCATTCTTTAATTATGTCATCCTTTAATTAATATTGCAAAATTCTTTACCACATGCTTTAATTTTGCTTTTGTTTTTTTGCATTGGATAGCTGATTGGACTCTACATAACCAGAACAATAATGAGCAGGAGAAATCTCTGAACTGTAAGTTTTTGAAACAGATCTGCTTAAAATCTGTTTTGTACAGCATATATTTACATTCATTTTTCTGTGACTTTTCAACGGGAGCATTCATTTATCTTTCCAACTATACACATCTGGAAAAACTGTGGCCATCTATTACTGCTGAATCCCAACGTAATAATGCCTTTGCTAACCTTGTGTTCTAACTAAGACAAAATATAATCCACTTACTGTCTGCGCCCCCCTTAATGTTTTATTAAAGGTGTAGGAGGCAGTCAAATGAAATAATTAAGGCACAGTATGAAGGTTTATGGGAAAAGATGGTGATCACCAGTTAAAATTGGATGGAAAAGTATATTGGGGGTTAAAACATAATCCAACACTAATTTTTATAAAGAAATATCTTTTTTATAGTATTGTTCCAACACTGTTCAAAGGCAGAGGCCTTTATATATATATACAATTGTAGTCTGCCAGCAGCCTGCAGAGCTGGTAGCAGAGTCGGACAGTGGGGAGGAACATGGGCCAGTCTGGGAGTCTGGACAAGACTTGGACAAGGCCTATGTGTCTGATACAGAGATGGGGCCAGGGCCATTTGGGAGTTATGTGCTGACTCCGGAGCCTCCAGAATCTGACAGCAGCGAGGCAGAGGAACGGGGAACCTGTTACCAGTGCGTGCATGTATAGAGCTGGCAAGAGCAAATAAGACAAAAGGGGCAACTTGGGAGTAAGGCTTGGAGATGATTGGCCCTCCCATAAGACATAAAGGAGGAGCAAAGGGACATGAACCTTTGCAGGAACCGACTTTATTCATACTGATTGGTTTGAAACCTGGAGTTTTGTGTTGAATTTGTGCTCCTTTTGGTCTTGTACAACTAATTGGCAATTTAGTCATTGGCAGCATTTCAAGAAAGATAAAGGTGCATGCTTATCAGACTTGTCCCAAAGGACTTTGGCAGACAGCTGTGGGACTATTTAAAAACTGTTTGAGACTCATTACTGGCTGTGAATGACTATAAATCACAGCCGTTGAAATAAAATAAAAGGGTTTGGGGACTAACGTGTGTTTGTTAATGTCTCGGGAAGCCTTGGTCAGAACAACAATACCCATCAACTGTAAGGATGACACACCCTATTTAAAAGGAACAACCCACAACAAATAGACCATTGTACCCAAAATATCTTCCCCTGAACCCTGATGTTTCTATGCTTTTAAACCTGAGAGCACTCTCTGTCTATAGCCAGATACATGCATGGATTTTGATGCCGACATGCTAACTGGACTGCTGCTGATTGAAGTTTACCATCACTCAGCGCACCACATTCCTAGCTTTGGTAGTGTTCCTGCACTTGACATTTCTTTAGATATTGGCTGACTTTCAGTCCCTTTAGTTGCAATTCTCATTGCCTGAAAACACTGCTTTGAAAACTTACTTTGAAGTTTGTTTATAGTGCGGGGGGGCAGGGGGGAGGAAGGGTACACGAGATTAAGAAGAAAGGAAAGTTTCACTTAAGAGTCTTAGGATGACACATATGTTTAGAAAGCATGAAAGACGATGCACTATGATTCCCTGTTTTTTTTTTTTGTCTTGTGTGCTTTAGGTGCTGGGAAACGAAAAGCTACCACTAAACTTGAACTTTGTTGTAAGCGACAAAAAATGGCAGACATCACAGGTAAATATTTTGTTTACTTTTTAAAAAAATGTGGCCTTTAGTTTTTCCATATTGTGAAATGATGCATTTTAAATAGGAATTAACAATCTGAACTATAGAAATGTAATGTTTGAATGTCTATGCAAGCATTCTTAGTCCATTTTTATGAAACAGTAATGTGTTTGTAAATGTCCACAAGAGGGAGATCTTTGATTTCTGTTACTTTGATACTTTTAAATGAGTTATAGTGAAGGCAACTTTTATTTACTGGAATTCTAATTAAAATATTATTAGTTATTTCCTTCTTACTGATAATTATTTATGCTCTTTTACAACAGTGGCCACAGAAGGCATCTTTACTCTCTTCTATGTTACAAGCAATGTTTGTGTGTGCTTATGTGTGTCCATTCTTTCTCTCTGGAGAAACAATTGATTTATTTAAGAAAATTTATATGGCCACCAAACTCACTCTCAATGACTCCAGGTGGCTTACAATGACAAAAGCCCAGTATAAAAACAGTAAAAAATTAATAGCATCAGTTACCTACATGTTTCGTTTTTAAAAATAATTTTATTGAATATTCTAATGCAATAGTGAAAACTAATAAAAACTAAAAAGAAAGAAAAAAAGAGTAGAAAGGAGAAAAAGTGCAAAGGAAAAAAATAGAAAACAGAAAGAATATAGTGAAGAGAAAAATATATATATAAGGAATTGATGTTCAACCCTTATCTTAACAAGTTTCTCCATAAATAAGACCAGGACTCTTCTGGTAATACCTTCTTGATGATATTCCTCCAGCATAGCTTTCAACTGTTATTGATAGAAATCTATCCATAGAAACGAACGTTGCTCTTAAGATTGTTGTTGTAATTTCTGAGTCTGTTGTTCAAACTTATCCTTTAGCATTTTGGTTACAATATTTTGCATCATTCTGTAGTTGTTAAGGTTTATATGTGCTCCTCCTTTATATTAAAACCTTTGGTTCCCTCTAGTGTCCAATTTCTAAAATTGTTTATCTCTTTTATATTTAAAGCAAGTCAACTTTCTCACAAATAGGATTCTTAAAATTTAATTCCAAAATATTATTTCAAATTAATTTGGTTCCTTTCTATAACTTTCTAAAACCAAAGTCTTAACTAGCTCTTTGCTGCTTATTTCATTTTTTTTTAAAGTTCCTAAGCTTGAAGTTAAAATTTTTTTCATTAAGAATTGAAAAGACTCATCTGGTATTTTCCAATGTGTTGATCCAAAGGTTTCTAATACCTGAAAGTTAATTAATAAGCAATTTTCAAATGTGATTAGAAAAGGAAATACATCAATGTAATATCTTTTTAAAGGTATCAACTGCATTTTGAGCAAGATAGCTATTCTCTTGTCTCCCAGTGCTCAAAACCTTCTGGAGTTTTCTGTCATACGGTCTCCTTGAAAGGAACAATTAGGGATGATATCCTGTACTCTCTTTATCTGGTGACTCTTTGTTCTTCACCGCCTTTCACAGAGCCTTCTTCATTCTGCCATTTCTTCCTCTGGAAATCCCATATACCTATATGTTTATATGTATGTGTATTTGGGCCTAATCATGTGTATACGGATATGTTTCCTCTGAATATGGGCATGTAAGTTTCTGCATTCCCTTGTGATGAGCCTGTGTATTTTTATGTATATCTGTGTTTAAGAAATAAGAGTGAGTACTGTCTGGGTCATGTGACTTGGAAGATTCTGGAAGATTTTTAGTATGGCATGGTCTAAAGTGCTGCACAAATTTCCTCTGCGAAAGGGATCTATTGGGATCAGTGTGATTCAGCCCATTTTTGAACTCAAATCTTACTTTTGCTGTTTTCTTCTGCACACGAAATTTAGTTTTGTTTTATCCATTTTCAGAGAGTTATCTTGCTGATGGATAAACAGGCAGAAGAACAGGCATTCTCCTGGACCCCTTTATATAATTCCCTCCCAATATTCTGCTGCTTTGAAAAGAAATGGACAATTCTGAAATATTTTTTTTCAACATTCAGTGAGAACTGAACTGCATGAAAGCCAATTGGGTGACCTTGGACTCTCAGGTCTAGGAAGAAACCAATTGCAAACCTAGAAAACTGCAGTGACTAGTCTGATTAGTTAAGAATGATTTGAAGGAGCAAGAAAAGGCTAGAGATTTGTATATTTTTATTTTATTACTATCATAGGACCAGCACAACCAAGAAAACATTAAATCTTTAAAGGAAATGGAATAAAATTAACTACATTTTAAAGCTGAATTGATTGTTAGGATAACAACTTTGGTCCCTGAATGACTGCACTGAGTAGTCAAGAACTTGAAAGGTAATAAGCTGGCATTGGGGCACAAAGCATATTTATTCCTGTAGTTATATAATAATTTATAACTAATTTATAGCTGCCTACTTCACAGTGGCTTATAATAAGAAAGAAGAAAAATAGAAACAATAACAATTTGCTTCATACTGACTTTAAAGTACTTTATTTCTGTCATTGACAAACATCCAGAGCAAAATAATATATAATTGAAGGATAATATAAAATAAAAATGGAATAAAAAAGGGTAAACTGAACATGACCAGCACGGGTGAAACTTTTTTAGTTCATATAAACAGCTTTGAACAGATTGTTAGACTAAGACTTCACTGAAACCAATAAACAGAAAAGTTTTCAGTTATTGTTGCCATTAATTTTGAAACAGGATTAATCAAGTCAAACTGTTCCTAATGAAATTCCTTCAAATCTTGATAAACGTTGACCTTCAACTGGCTAATTTTGGGGAATATCCCAACTGAAGGAACAAGAGAGGTAAAAATTTTATGAACAACCACCAGAATCTGGGTTATAACCTCCACAGATACCTGGTCTAACCAAGAGCTACATTTGGGTGCTTGAAGAATTTTTTTCCAGGATTGGGAATAATTTATAGTTTCTCAAATGTTAGTACTATGTTAGTACTTGTACTATGTATATACTATGTGGGAGAAGAGCTGGGGGCCAGAGTTAAATGATTTATCAGTTTAGACACTTTACATTCCCACGAAGGGTCCAAGTTTAACTTTTCCTGAATTCTGCTGATCCTTATCCAGTGACAATTTAGTGTTGAACTTTAGTTGACTAGAGTCTTGTATGTAGGTTTTTATAAATTTTCTGTGTGCAACTTAATGGGTGGTGCTGATTCTTTGGACTTGATAACAGTAAAAGTAAAGTAAAGCTTGGGCATTAAAGTTATAACACTAAATGAATGCTGGCTATGTGATGAAATCTCAGATTGGGAGAGGCAGTTATTATTATGCATTATTTGCTACATATGCAATTGCACACTTTACAATCTTGGGTCATGAAAAATTATTCCTATGTTTATGATATTCCACTTGTCCCTTATCCGTCTATTACTGTGTCATCTGTATTTAATCTATCATGTGACATACTTCACAATCTTTGTTTTAGAGCAGTTTATATTCAGCCAGACTTCTAATCTGATTTATGTCTGTGAAAACAAACAACATTTGCATAAAGCAAAAAAGAGGGTCCTTTTGCCAGGCAACTTCACAGGGGGATAATGCTGCTGTGAAAAGGCAAGCTATATAATTAAATGATTTATATAGATGTTAAATAATTATGGAACTAACAAGTAAACTTGCTCAATGTGTTTTTTTATTATGGATCCTGTCTGACAGTTTGTCTCTAATACTGGAATGGGTTTCAGAACACAAATTATATATTAATAAAGGAGCTGCCTGACAATACTAATTTGACCCAGTAAAATTCACTCATATCTTAACAACAAATCAAATGCTGAAATGACTTGAAATCTATCAAGGCTATAATATACTGTCTTGGAAATTAACTTTCCTTTCCTTACTCAGTGGGGTAGGACCAAAATCTGATTGCATGTTTCTCTGAAGCTCACTTGCTTATCTACTAAAAGAGAGAGTCAAGCTATTCTCCAAAGCACCTGAGGGCAGGACAAGAAGTAATGGGTGGAAACTAAACAAGGAGAGAAGCAACTTAGAACTAATGAGAAATTTCCTGAAAATTAAAACAATTAATCAGTGGAATAACTTGCCTCCAGAAGTTGTAAATGCTCCAACACTGGAAGTTTTAAAGGAGAGATTGGAAAACATTTGATGAAATGGTATAGGATTTCCTGCCTAAGCAGGGGGTTGGGCTAGAACACCCCCAAGGTCCCTTTCAACCTCTTCTCTTCTCTTCTCTTCTCTTCTCTTCTCTTCTCTTCTCTTCTCTTCTCTTCTCTTCTCTTCTCTTCTCTTCTCTTCTCTTCTCTTCTCTTCTCTTCTCTTCTCTTCCCTTCCCTTCCATTCCATTCCATTCCATTCCATTCCATTCCATTCCATTCCATAATGTTACATTACTGCAGTGGTCCCCCATATTTCTGGCTTGGCGATCGGGGGGGGGGGGAGAGGGGATGGTTCCATGTAAGTCTGAGTACACGCAATCTGCACAAGTGGAAGTGTGTGCACAAACATACTCACCTGCTGCTTGCGCAGTCTGGTTCTGAATGGGCTACAGGCTGGCAGTGGTCCATGGCCTGGGGGTTGGGGACCCCTGCCTTACTGAATTTAATCTTGAGATTTCAGCAATAGATTCTTAATAGAATCTGCTTTTGAATATTTTCTTAATAGTTTGATCAGATCTCCCCCGCCTCCCAAGAAGAATAATGATGGTTAAATCCCAGTCTTTGGGTATGACTTTAGTATGATCTGTGGCAGTAAAATGTGGTAAATAGAAAAGTCTACCATTCATATGTCTCGTTTAAAAATATCTGTGAATCAAGTCATTGATAGGGGCTTTTTGAATTGACATCATTTAATCCATTTAGGGATCTTCTCAACTGTAACCAGTGGTCAAATAGAAACTTGGGTAAGAGAAACAACAGCTGCAAAGGGAACCTAGAATTATTTAGGATGATTTGGCTTGTTCTTTTGGTAGGCCACTCCCAAACAATTTCAAAATAAGGCTCTTTTTTAACTGCATAAATTAACTCCAGCCAAGCAGTCTTCTGCCTACCACTTGTCAATTTTTATTTATTCTTTTAAGTTGGACATCTATAAATAAAATCAGAGGACAAAATAGATAGAAGATCTGTGTGTCTATATGATTTGCAAGTTTTTAGCAGATATATTCTTTTTATCAAGCCATTTGGGGAGTTTTAGATTAGAGATATATGATCTAGAAGCTAAATTATGAATTCATTTTGGACTTTTGATTTGTCAAAAGAAAAAAAAAGAACCCAACACCAGGGCACTGATGGCTTTGCACCTCCCAAATTTAGAAAAGTTCTTTTTGTAACTCATACTTGAATTGGCTTTAGGAAAATAGCACTGTAAACAAAAGCAAGCAAGTAGAATTAAATCTTACAGCTACTTGTAGATGACATTAGTGCATAGAGGGTCTCTATGACATTTATATATAATTTGGTGGACATCCAAGTATTTCCTTTGCTTGGCCTGCCCTTGCCAATGTTTGGATTGGCCTTGAGTGACAAGCTTGGAAGTCTTCAGCTCAATGACATCTGTTGATCTGGACGCCTGAAAACAAAGCTCCTTCAAACTACCCATTTTGAATATGTTTTCGCTTTTTTTTTTCCATAAAGAGAAGGCAAACATTCTACATTCTAGCACACAGAGAGAGAGGAGAGAGGAAAGAGGGAGGGAGGGAGAAAAAGAGAGAGAGAACAATTCAGGGAAATAATATGCTAGTTGAAAGGAGAACAGCAGACCTCAGATTTCCAACTAAGATATCACAGTCAATCTTGATGCAGCATGGAGCACAGCTAACTAGCTACTATGGTAGCCGCTTCTACTGTCAGGGTTGATGGGAAGTACCCCCATAGGTATTTATTTGTATGTCTTCCAATCTGCCATACAAATCATAGTGCCATTTTTACCCCATGCTGCAGGATTCTCTAGTATATACAAAGTAAAAGCAATCACTCCTTATAACCAATTTCTGCTTTTGTGCGTTTAGATGGAACGAACAGTAATCACTTGTTAACAGATCATCAGCTGATGATTCTTGCAATGAAAATGGGTAAAGACTGGAAAGTCATTGGTATTGGATGTCTGAAGTTGACCTTGCAAGATATCGAACAGATTGAAGCAAAAGAAGAAGATGTTAATATGTATAAATGTATGATGCTGCGGAAGTGGAGAGATTCTGAACAAAATAATGGAACAGCCCATAATTTATATAAATGTCTTGATGGTCAAGTATCCCATGAGCTGCTAGAACTCCTGAAAGGTACTTTTGCATCCTATATAATCAAACATTTGTGGGGTTGTGGGTTAGGTTTTTTTTGTTATTTCTTATAAATACAGAATCGGGACCCAGCATAAGAAATTTGATCTTACAGGATATATGTCATATTAGTGCCCAACTTCTCCTTCAGGTTGATATGAAGAACTATTCACATTTAAGACTTTGTTAATTCATTTATTTAATTTTTCCCCATTGCAAACATACTACTCTTGGATGTTTAAAACAAAAATATTATTGAAGTAAAAAATTAAAAATACATTCTAAAATCCTTCAATATTTTTAAAAAAACATTGATACATCAGCCTCATTTCACTTACTGTAGACCTCCAAAACAATCGTCCAAAAGGCCACTATTGTGGGGAGAGGCTATCATTAACCAGGAAGGTCCTAATATGGATTCATCCCCCATGAAACATTCCCCTTCCCCATTTAATAGTGGGGAACCAAGCAGTTTCTCTTGGGATGCATGAGTTGCAAAGCTCAATTCCAGCTGGAGAAGACAATCCTGAAGGTACTTTGGTGTCAAGCTGTGTAGGACTTAAAGCCAGCAGTTTGAATTTAACTGAAAGCAAATAGAAAGCTAATCCAAATCCTGAAGCACTTGCAATAGGTGGTTGGGGTAGAAATATAGCTTGGTACCATATTCAAAATTATTAGAAGTTTCTGAATGTTTTTTAGAAGAACAGTTGATTGCAGCTGATCCCAACTAGGATTGCTTCAAAGTTAAAATCAGGCAAACCAATTTTCCACCTTCCTTGCTTAACCCCAGTATCATAAAAGGCTCTTCTGTTCCATTTGGTATTGATATTTATAATTTGCTACATCTTTTATACTGTTGAATAACTGGAATGTTGTAGAACAGCTTTCTCTGTCTTGAAAATGTCCAATAATCTCACAAGTCCAGTTATGATCAATAAACTCATTCTGTAGATCTGTGTGTGATCTTTCTTAACAATTACAGTTGGGATCGTAAGTTTGGTAGCTAAGTGAAACTGTGATTGTACTTATAAGCTTGCTTCAACTTTCTTTTGCTTTACTGAACTGTAAGGGAGCAGGATTGGTTGTCAAATTGCTATAACTGCAAATGGTTGCTAAACAAGGCAGTTGCTAAATGAGGACTACCTGTAGTAGAACTCTACACATTTCAACAGTGATTTCAAAGTAGCAGACCACATATGGGAATCTTTTGACGCATACACAATCGTATTTACCTTAATTCCAGGTATCACCTAATTTTACTGCTTTATCTTTTTTCCAGGTTTTTTGCAACAAACGTGAGTTCATATGGAACCAACTTCAAACAGAAATATTGGGAACATTCTTTTGTAAATTTTCCAGCTGCCTAAAAGGAATTTGAGTACTTAGCAGGAACTTAGAAACACTTTAAAACTAAGAAAGAAAATGATGGACCAATTGTTGAAACTCAGGATTAAATATGGTTTGGGAAGGAAGCCAAGTGAGTGGAATCATGAACTTCTGCAAAGGCATTTCCCCCTACACTTTACTCATAGGTTCCCAGAGACATTTGCACAATCAACAATTCCTTCACATCCAGGAGAACTGGTGCTTTCCCAAAATGTTTTCAGTTTTTGTTTGGATGAGGTGTGCCTCCCCTCCAACACATATAAAAATATCAATCTGGCATAGGGTTGTAAAGGCACTTTCGAACTGTGCATGCCCCAAAATAGAAGCATTCAAAGTTTACAGGTAGCCTCAAATGTTCTCATTCTAAATTCTATCTCTACTGTAGCATTCAGACTTTTTTTCTGGCTACCATATTTGTTTCTTGGAAGATATTATGGTTGTCCTTCTGTAAGATGCAACTGAAGACCATGTTGCATGCCCACATTTTTCTATGATATTTGTTACCCCAAGACCTTGTTTTTAATTTAGAGGGCTGGCACAATGTTTAGAAATCCCCTGCTTTTTTATTCAAAAGTATATTAAAACAGTTCAACAATTCCTGTGAAGAAAAGCTGATTTTCAGAGGATTTGTATATAGAATGATACAAATTTGCATAAATAATTCCTGTTTTAAATGATAGTTTTGTTTTAGTGGGTGTTAAGAAGCATTGATGAAATCCAATTGTCAAAATACAAGAAATACTTACCCATTATTTCTCCTGACAATTTTAGCTGGTTCCTCATTTTGTAATTTTGTGAGTGCCTTGTGCACTCTTAACAGAGTGACTGCCATGCTATGCATAGCCAAATTGAAATTCACCCCTTTGTCAAGGAGACAATGAAGCCTAGGCTAAAAAAATTGCCTAAGGAATTAAAAAACAAGGTGTAGGTGAACTCTGATGATCTTCAGGGAAAAGTGGCTTAGGCATGACCAGCAATGTGGTTTGAGGGCTAAATGACACTGCTTTTGTAAACGATATTGAAACATGAAAGATGTAAAAAAATATCCAGAAAAACAATGCTCAGGCAAAAGAATGGGGAATAACCCTATAACTATTTACCTCTTTTTAAATCAGGAATTTCCACGACACCCATTTTTTGCTTTTCCTGCATGGCCAAGAATATTTAAGTGACTATTGTTAGTGTAGCCAAAGCAGAATTTCAGGGACCATTAAAATGCTGTAAAGTTGAGACAAAAGACAAGACTAACTCTTTGCTGATACCTACTGGTTGCTTTGATTTTTGCAGTCTAGATACAGCAATCTTAATTTTTGGGTCATAATTGCACAGCACTATAATAGGTTACTTTGAATATACAAACATGGAAGATTTGCTATCATGCCAATATGCTTTTGTCATGTTTTAACATTTTCAACAAAAATCAGGAATGCCAGACCAAGGTGCACAGCATCATGTTGGAAACCCTAGGCATGTCTGAGTGAAGATGAGGACTAAAACTTATTTGAAAGTGCACTCTATGATTCTCTGCATTTTTACAAATAATTTTGTAGAATTATATTTGCTATTTATTTAGGTATCTTTTTTTCCAAAAGTTTCCCCTGTATTAGTGGATACATTTGGTGGTATAATTCATCAGCCCTAATAAATGTAGCAAATCCATCTCTCAATGAAACTTTGGTCCTGAAAATTAATCCTGTAATCATAAAAGTATGTCTTGCCATGTAAAACTGACATCAAATTCCATAAAATACCTCATATTTTTTTAATGTAGCATTGGAACTGTAGATATGTAGTATACATTCACTGATCTCTAAATGTTATGTTTTTTGTGATAGAAATTCCATTATATTTGTTGGTTTAAATAGGTTGTATTTTGTATTTCTTTTATAATTCATGAAAATAAATACATGTACATGCCAGTACATAGTCTTACTTATATTGAAGCAGCCTAAATGAAGTTGTCGCTGATGTTAGGCCAACTGTGTTTTGCAGTTTCTAAAAAAAGTTTTATTTCACTTAAAATGAACTTTCTCTTTCTGTCTTGTTCCCTGGATGCTTGAGAAGTTTTTTGGAATTTCTCATTATAGTACTTTGGGGCTTATTTGAAGACAGACATAACTATATTTTGTTATCAACCAATAAAAGTACAATCAATATAAGGAAGAACACAAAACTATCCCCTAAATAAGAACTATTGGCAACCATTTGGAGGCAAAGCTTTCACATAATGTAGCAAAATGTTGCTAATTTTACAGGTATAAATTTACCTCGATTATTTAACAGATAAATCTAAGCTATCAGAGTTCCCCCTGAAATTTAAATAAAACAGGGATAATCAACTAGTGACGTAAATCCCTGTAAAACTTGCAATATAGAAGAACCATGGGCTGTGATTTCTATGATATTTACATCACAAGGGCAATATTGGGTTTTATATGGAGTTTTCCTATGTTTTCCTTCCTAGACAGGCATTGTTTTATTATTGGTGATAATAAAGAAGGTACTTTATTATTTAAGGTTTAATCCTAATCTTACTGTTTTTTACTCTTTTTATTAATAAAGCCTTTCACATTTCCGTCAGAAAAACATCCTGTTCTTGTTGCAGAAATACTGCAAAGATCTGGAAATATAATTGTACAGCCATAACAGAATATGAGAGTTGCAAGGAATTTGAGAGATCATCTAGTCTAACCCTCTATCCAGTATAAAATTTTGCTAGTTCACTTTCCTGACAAATGGTCATCCATTCTCTGTTGAAATACTTCCTGTGAAGGAGAAACTACCACTTCACAAAGCAGTCTATTTCAGGATACTCGTACATCTACTTTACAATTTAAATGGGCCTTAGCATCCCAATCGCCCCCAAGATGTCTACTGTAGGAGCATTAATTGCAGCATATGTTGGTCTGTCTATCCAATAGCTTTTTCCTCAAGGTGTTTCCCCCCCGCCCCAAAGACAGTTGTACTTCCTTGGTGTTTTCTTTGAAAATGTGTCACTTATCATCTAAGAAGCTTCTTCAGTTCTAACTGGAGAGAATGGGTTTATATTGTTTGTAATCATTTGGTCATTAGCATTCTGCGAGTTGGTCAATCACACTCTGAGAGTTGCTAAGGCCACTTGGGGGTTTAATCAGGAGTCACTTGAATCAGAATATAAATGGGTGTGGAACTTTCTTAGGACTTCTGAAAGGACTGTGTTGTAAACAGGATACAAATGGTGTATCCCTCCCACTCTGTTGAGATAGGGCTGTTCAGTTTTAACAAAAAATCCCCCCCCCCCCCCCAGTCAGTAAGAACTGAAGAAGCTTCTTGAGAAATGAAATGTTTTCAAAGAAAACTCCAAGAAATTCCAGGTGCCTTTTGGAAAAACACTTTTGGGACAACCTTGACATGGATGATTGAGAATCTCCATAGACATATATATCCAGTGCATCCACAGGCACAATCCAAACTGGGAAAATGCCATGGATATACAGAAGAAAGGGCCTTAGATAGCACAGTCATGGCCACCATCTTGTCCAATCAATTCACCTGTCCATGGATGTTGCTAAGTCTACTACATACATAGTTAACTTGGCAAAACAATGTTCCTATTTTAGGATACTTTAGTGACTACAAACGATATTCCCAACTCAGTTACCAGAATTGAATTGAAAGTACCATGAATTCCTTGAACAAAGGTGAATGTACTATACAGTAATGGTTTCTATGCGTAGTTCCTTCTGTTTATATCCTTCACAAAAAAGCATCCCAGACTCATTTAAAAACACTTTAATTAGAAACAACCCTGTCCTGTGATAAATGACACCAATAAGAAACAATAAAGCAGTAGTTAAATAAAAAAAGTAGTGGGAATGTAAGAAAAGTGGGAGTAGAAGAAACCTGGCCAGTTTGACCAGTTTGGTGTAATGGCTAACACACCAGACTAGAAAACAAGGGACTGGGAGTTTAAGACCTGTCTTATCCATGAAAGCCTGCTGGGTGATCTTGCATCAGTCACTCTCAGCCCAACTCACCTCATAGGATTATTGTAGGAAATGGGAGGAAGAAGGTGTGTTGGATATGTTCACCAGCTTGAATTATTCATAAAAATAATAAAGATGGGATATAAGTAATCAAATAAATAAAATTAACATCACAGTGGACTGGTGGCTTATTTAATTGTCCATGACTTGCCTTTTTATGAAGTCTAAAAAGTATTGTGTATATAAATTTTATAATCATGCTTTTGTTATAGGCATTAATATGAGATTTGAGAAAATTAGCCTCTTTTTCTTGTTTTTTAAAAGTTTTATTTAACTATTAAAATATATGGAGCACAAAATGATGAAGTGATAAAAATTAATTACCTTGAAATCTAATAAGAAATGCATGGGACAAAAATGGGGTAATGAACTGACAAATTAAATAAAGGAAAAATAATGAATTGTGGGTTAAAGTGAACGTTTTGTATTCAGTCATCACTGAATAAATTGATGGAAATGCCAACAACTAAGTTATAGTTTCAGTGCACCTGAAGATCTATGTCAAATAAGAATGATGAAGGATATCTAATTGAATGCAAATGTTAGCAAAATAAAATAAACCCTGAAGCAAAGGATGCTTCTAAGAATATGTAAAATATTTATCTCTTCTCTTGCCATTGAATATTTGGACTTTTGACTCTTGCACATTTGTGGTGAGAGCTGGTTAAGAACTTTAAATCTGTGACTTAATATCTTAAGAAAGTCCTTTCTAGATGACCATTTTATTTATTTTACCTCAAATCACAAAGCATATAATTGTTGGGCTACCAGATCTGAGCTGCAAAAATCCAGGTAACCAATAGATGGCGGCAGATAATCATGTATCACTTTTATTAATGTTTGCTGCCACTTTTATTAATGTTTACTGCTTGCTTCTAAAAAACAACCTCAGAAATCCCAATTGTTCTCACATGTATAACATACATTTGCACCAATGTTCCTACCCCCTGAGATGTCCCATCTCATCCCAAATGTAAAAGATGGTTCTTGGCTATTAGAAAGTTGCATCTCTGTTACAAAGATCTGTGAGTCTCAGAAAATAAATATAATAAAGGCAGGATATAAACAAAAGATAAATAAAATACTCCAAGCATCTTAAATCTTAAATTGATGTGTTCTTTTATTATATTTAATCTTTAGCAATGGACAAAATATATTATAACTTTATAATTTAGATTATAAACATAAATTAATATGGAAGATATTTATATATTATATATACATTTGCTTATAGTTAGCCAATATTATCAAATAACTTATCACTTGACATTAGGATTAGCATAATTCTATTACAGATCCAATTTCTTCATTAAAAAAACTATGAAAGACACAATATAATTTTTTCAAGGAAATAAAAAAAAAGAATGACATAAAACTAAAATTTTAGTGCAAGAAACAGAAAATAATTGCCACAATAAACAGCAAAACAATGGTCACTTGGACTAAAATTAAGAGATATATTAGAATATTCAATTTGAAACTATAATATTATAAACACTCTACCCTGAGTGTAAGCCCCATGGATTCAACAGGGCTTATTGTGGAAGAAACTATAAGGAAAACATAAGAACTGTTTTGGACTTCTTTTCTAGCTTTTTTTCCTAAGAGACAAACTGAAAATAAGTGCAAAATATTACAACTTAAAAGAGATGAATATTTCTTCTGTCATACACTAATCCCAAAACAGGCTTTATCCATGATAGCTCATTCATCTCTTTGTAGAGATTGTACACAGACTGTTGAATTAGGCAGCCGTGAGCAACTTAGCTTTAACTTCCACAAAAATCCTGTGTAGATACAAAGCTGGATAGTGGTTTCAGAAAGCAGAATTGATGGTACAAAATGAACAGCAGATGGCTGTTCTGGAATTTCATTGCCAGAAAGAAAGAGGCTGTTTCCAGATTCAGCAGACCATCATGGTTCCAGATTCAGCAGACTGGATGAAAGTCCTGCTTGTCTCTTTTCCTTTTGGCAATCAATGGAACTAGAATTTGATGCATTAATTGTGGCATACAGGG